AGAAGATTTGGTCAAATTTTGAGAATACTTGCAAGTAACACCAAAGTACCATCGTCATTTTTTGATAAATTTACTCTTGACACTGCAGAATTGTATGTCCAGCTTTATTCATGGTACTTCATGCCTTCAACTGTCCATAAAATACTTATGCATGGTACAAAAGTAATGGAAAATTTTTTGCTACCAATTGGACAATATTCCGAAGAAGCTGCTGAAGCGCGAAACAAAGACTTTAAACGCTTCAGAGAATTTCACACTCGGAAATACTCTCGATTGGCCACAAATGAAGATCTCATACACAAATTGCTCGTATCGTCTGATCTTTATATTGCGTCTTTAAGGAAACACTGGAAAAAGCCAGAAAATGATATCGATGCCGAAATTATAATGCTTATTAAAAATTATCAGTTAGAAGCCGACTCAAAAGTTTAAAAGCATATTTCATGTAACATGTTTCGTGTAACATGTTACGTTTTCGCGTTTCGCTTTAATGATCAGTACTATCGGAACAAATACTTTAAATATGAAAAGTTATCTGTAGTAAGATGTCGCAAAATGATTATTTGTTTATTTAATTGTTTATAACAATAGGAATTGTTAGTTTACGATAAAGTTTTGTCATAAACGTCATTTTAGTGGTAATTTTTCAATTAATTAAGTTAAAAATTATTTATTTCAGAGAGAATGCGTTTCGATCGATAACTTGTTTAAACATTTGTTTATAAAAATTAAGTTGAAAATTTTAATGATTTATTTCTATGTTTTGATAAGATAGCATTGGTTTTCATCGATACTGGAGTTATTCAAGTTGTTGTTTGTCATACAAAAAATAATTTAGTTGAAAAGTATCAATTTATCACTTTATTTGTTTAAATATTTTTGCACAAACAAAAAAATAAAAAATCGGCTTTCACAGTTTTCTTTAGAATTTATTTCTGAGTATTTCTGTGAAAGAAACATCTAAATCGGTTAAGAAATACCACCTGTAGCCGATTTTGAATAGAAAATTGTGCGTTTGCACCACTGTGCGTCGTCCCCATGGCGGATCTTACGCGGGAGGAATCGGAGGAATTCCGTAACGCCGTAACGTGTCACGTGTGCGAGAAACCCTTAACAGCGTACGACACGCGGGTGCGCGATCATTGTCATCTGACCGGGCGTTATCGCGGTGCCGCGCACTCGTCGTGCAATCTAAATTACATAGACTCCGACGTTATCCCGGTGATATTTCACAATTTATCCGGTTACGACGCGCATTTTATAATCAAAGACGTTGCCAATGCTTTCGAAGGCAACGTCGAATTGTTACCGCTGACGAAAGAACGTTACATTTCATTTACAAAAAATGTTAAAGATACCGAGGATCAAAATTACAAAATTTGCATCAAATTACGATTCATCGATTCGTTCCGATTTCTCAGTACGAGTCTCGACAAATTGGCATCTTATTTAACTGTAGATGAATTAAAAATTTCACGATCGGAATTCAAACATTTATCCGCGGAAAATTTCAATCTGTTTACTCGGAAAGGCGTGTTTCCTTACGAGTACGTCGACAGCGTCGACAAGCTCCGGGACACAAACCTACTATCGCGCGAATCGTTTTACAGCTCGCTCACCGGAGAAACGGTATCCGAGAGCGATTACGCGCACGCGACAAACGTCTGGCAAACTTTTTCGATCGAAGATCTAGGTCAATACAGCAATTTGTATTTGAAAACAGACGTTCTTTTGTTGGCGGATATTTTCGAAAATTTCCGAAACATGTGTATTAAAAGTTATGGTTTAAATCCCGCTCATTATTACACTTTACCGGGGTACACGTGGGATGCTATGATGAAGTACACGCGCGTAAAATTCGAGTTGCTCACGGACATCGATATGGTGCTGTTTGTCGAGCGCGGTATACGCTGCGGTCTCAGCCAATGCTCTAACCGATACGCAGCCGCCAACAACAAATACATGTCATCGTACGATTCATCGGAACCGTCATCGTACTTAATGTACTTTGATGTAAACAACTTGTACGGCTGGGCGATGTGTCAACCGTTGCCCTACGCCAAATTTCGATGGGTCGATGATGTCGCGAGCTTCGACGTAATGTCCGTTGCATCCGATTCGGCTACCGGTTACGTGCTGGAAGTCGATCTCGAGTATCCGGTGAATCTTCACGACGCGCACGCCGACCTGCCGTTCTGCCCGACGCGCGATAAGCCGCCCGGCAAGCGGGAGCTCAAGTTACTCGCAACGCTGTACGATAAGCAGCGTTATGTCATTCACTACCGTAATCTGCAGCAATGCGTGCAACATGGTCTGCGAGTTGCAAAGATTCACCGCGTACTGCAATTCGTGCAATCTTGATGGCTCCGCAGATACATAGAATTAAATACACAATTTTGGATACGAGCAAAAAATGATTTCGAAAAAAATTTGTACAAATTGATGAACAACGCGGTTTTTGGCAAAACCATGGAGAATGTGCGAAATCACACGGATGTACGGCTTTTTACACAGTAAGAGGGTCGGTACGGAGCGGAGGCTATGATCGCCAGACCAAATTTCCACAGCCGAAGCGTGTTCTCGGAGGATCTGATGGCCGTAGAGTTGCGAAAACTCGAAGTGAAATTTGACAAGCCGATCTACGTGGGTATGTGCATCCTCGACATACCCAAGACCTGCTTGTACGAGTTTCACTACGAGTTACATGGCGCCTCTTCTACCGCGACAATTGCAAAATTATGTATACCGATACCGACAGTCTGATATACTTCTGCACTGCGAGGACGCGTATCGGGATATGAAACGCGATATATCCAAATTCGACACGAGCGACTACTCCGAGGACAACGCC